TCATTCCCAAATGGAGTTACATTAACCTTTTCAGAAGCTGAAAACCTTCCCATTCTCCCTCTGTTCCCTAGCTTATCACACATTCTTTCAAAAAATCAGGCCTTTTTTATAACACCACGGGAGGTGGGACGAATTGTTAAAAATCAGGACTGTCCAGCCCAAAGCGGGAGGTCTGGTCACCTTAATTTAGCTCCTCTAATCAGGTCAGAATGGAGGGGATTGCTACTAAGCCAAAGGACCAACATAAACATATCTATTGCCCAGTGGACCATCTACAGGACCCTCCAGATGAAACAAAGTATTTTATCTCCGAAGCATTTTATTCTGTTCTACCTTGTAGCCTTCAGCAGTTTGCATATCTGTCCTTGCCACTAAACTATAGATATACACTGTACACATATTACTTACAGACAAAGTTCCAGGTTTCAAATCATCCTGTCACTCAGATGCCAGTCCATGGTTTTGCAGACAGTAAGCACTCAGGAAATGTTTCTCTGTAGGTATAACTTCTCCTCTCTCTTTGTTCTAGGCCCCATATCCAAGCAAGTAAGAGCTAAATCTAAATGTCTTTCAGACTCAGCTGCCACCAGCCTGTTTCAGGGCCCCCACCTTCAGAATCCTCAAGCCCTTGTGTCCCTTCTGAATCACTGCATCGGCTGCCCCCCTGCACTGCTCCACCCCACCACCACTTCTGGAATCTTGGTCAACAGCTCCTTAGGGCCCATAAAAAGATTCAGACTCCTTAGCCTTCCCCTGTGTACCTCCTGGGAAGGACCCCAGCCCATCTGTCCAAGTTCATCCATCCTCTCTAGCCTCCTGGTTGACCTGTCCCTCGGTCCTCTATCTGTCAACCATTCTAGGTCACTTGCCCTTCCCAACACTTGCTTGGTATGTTCCCAAGTTGCTTTGCTCACACTGAACTCTACTCTTAATCTTCTTACTATTTTATTGTGTGCTCACCAAGTGCCAAGTCCAAGGCTTCAAGTTCACTAGAGGCAATATAAACTCAGCAGTTTGTTCTGGTGAGATAACACATTCCCTTAGACCTATTACCCTTTATGATGAAATCATAGAATTTCATTAGTTAATCATTTCCCCTCAGAACTCAGTGATCTTGATTGGTGTATTGTCTCATGATTTATCAAAGAAAAGAATATCATGTAACAGACAGAATAGGAGGAGGTAGGGAGAATGCAGATGTCAAAACACATGAAAGAAAATCAAGGTCATGATATGATACAGCAGTTTTAGTAGAAATGAATGACTGCATTCCAAGTTTACCCAGCACTATAAATGTGTCACACAAGTCGTAATGATTTTGAT